CCCCAAAACCCCAAAACCCCAAAACCCCAAAACCCCAAAGTTGGTTCGGAATATTGAGTTATTTTATTAATATAAGATGCAGAGGGTTGAAGAGAACGTTTTAGATGAGGAAATTGAGTTTTATGGTAAGATGTTTGGAATAAGAGGCTCTGGAGGGAATGGAGAGATTAAATCTTATAACTTTGGAGAAGGAAGATGGTTGAAAGTATTTCATAAGGGTACTGTATGTAAATTCTCTTAAAATAATTTAGAGTTTGAATTGGATCTCTCCTGATAAAATTCAAAAATTGAAAATGCACAAAGAGACTATCATACGCTTAGAGATTCAAGAATTTAGCAAGAAAGATTTACTTAAAACTCAAAATGATATAAACAAATGAGATAGCAAACCAATTAAAAGCCTCTATTTTAGAAGTAAAGGAGAACCATATCCAAAACTAAAACTCGGGTCTTTCTATCCTTGTTTAACAAAGTTAGCATCACTTGCTACCTATTCAATTAGTATTAACAATATCAAGCTGAATAAGTATCAAATTAGTTGCTTATTCAGCTGCATAAACTCTATAAATGACATTGAACTTGCATGCTGAAATATAACCACAGAAAACATAAGGATTGCAAAACATAAAGTTCCTAAAATCCAAGAGGTTCGCTTTTCTCATTGCATGAAGAACACAAACAGGGTATTTACACTCGAAGACCTCCATAATATTTTTAACATGATTACTTCCTCGTTCATTAAGGATCACATTCAACTTTTGGAGTTTCAAAACTGAGAAATAACTGAGAAAGAAGCAAGAATGCTCAATACACAATTCGGCAGTATTTTCACAGTAAACTTCCATAATGCTGTTCTATATAAGGCTGCCAGGTATACACGACGTGAATCTTCAGGATGTAATATCTTCTAATCAACTCTCATAGCTAAAAAGCCCTCATTATCCACTCTAAATTCAATATTCCTATTAAGCCCCGGGGTTTTGGGGTTTTGGGGTTTTGGGGTTTTGGGGTTTTGGGG